CCGCTCTTCCTGGACTTGATAACACAGGGTCACGGCCATCCCCAGCACCTGAACGTGGAGTTACTGCACCTCATGGCTTGGAAGCTGCATGGCTGAACCTGACGGAGTTCGCTTGTTCGGACCCAGTCAGGCAAGTTCTCCTGGGCAGTAGGAAACCCTCCACCAGGGCTCCCTAACTGGCCAAATGAAAGACATTTTCAATCTGGTCGGTGCAGCACCGTCCATCTCTGACACTCATGTCCATACCCCTTATACTGGCCTACCTTCTCCATCTCGAGCAGCAGGGGCTGTCCATGTCATCAATATAGGTTCACTTGGCCACCATTTCTGCCTTCCATCCAGGCACAGAGGGCTGGTTGGTCTTTGCTTACCCTATGGTCAGCCATTTCCTGAAAGGTCTTGACGGACTATATCCACACGTCCGACAGCTGGTCCTAGCTTGGGACCTCAATCTGGTCCTTTCCAGACTAATGGGGCCACCTTTCCTTCCTAAGGTTGTTTCCTAGTTTCACGTCAGCCAAGACATCTTTTTCCTGGTTTTCTATCCTAAGCCGCACTCAAGCAACAGGGAGCAAAAACTTCACTCATTGGTCATTCGCCGGGCATTAGCCTTCTACGTCAAGTGAACCAAACTGTTCCAGAAATCCATTCAGCTCTTTGTTGCAGTAGCGGACAGAATGAAAGGGCTTCCAGTCCTCTACCAAAGGATTTAGTCATAGATCACGTTCTGCATCTGGGAATGTTACAACCTGGCGAAGGTACCAGCCCCTTCGCTTACAGCACACTCCACCAGGGCGCAGCTTCATGAGTGGTGTTCCTGGCTGCTGGACTCGATGACCTTTCAAGGTCTCTTCTAGTTCTAGGAGATAGGATATCTCCATTAATTTATGGGGGGAGGGATAGCTCAGTGGTTTGAGCATTGGCCTGCTAAACCCAGGGTTGTGAGTTCAATCCTTAAGGGGACCATTTAGGGAACTGGGGTTTAAAAAAAAACTATCTGGGGATTTGCCCTGCTTTGAGCAGGGGGGTTGGACTAGATGATCTCCTGAGGTCCCTTCCAACCCTGATATTCTATAATTGAGTCATGTTCTGACCCAAGAAGTATGCAGAGCAGCAACATGGTCCTCCATTCATACTTCCATATCACATTATACAATTACCCAGCAGGCCAGAGATGATGCAGCCTTTGGTAGAGTGGTGATCCAGTCAGCAAACATTTAAGCCCCGGCCCCACCCCCAAAATTTAGGCTTGGGTTGGAATTGACATGAGCAATCACTCGAAGAAGAAAAAATGGTTACTAACCTTCTCGTAA